AGAAACTAGTGGACGATTTTGGTATTAGATCGAAATGAAAGTCCCAAATTCTAATGTGATTAGACGCACAGCTAACGGTGTAAGGTAATTCTATAACTCGTATTAGCGAGCAGGGCCCGGCACAGATGGTCTGGATCAAACTGGACTTGTTTTTGGAGTAGAAGCAATGGCGATATCGTTATTTGTAGGGTGCCTGGGAGGGCCTCGAGGTTTTACGAGTTGACGTTCTTTCCCAGGCTCGCGAATTTTGAAACGCAGGGCTTAAGCAAACAAATGGCTTGTTTACACCGTACAAACAATCAAATGGCGCTGAATTTGGGCTATATGTATACATACCATTGCTTCAAACAACATCATGTAAGTTTCAAAACTTATGTGTCCAATGGCCGTTCCCAAATTGTTGATTTTTAAAACAACACCAAATCAATTTGGTTCGGAGCATAATTATGGAAGAGTTCACATAAGTTTTGGCCTTTATAATTTGGACGATTAGAACGATCAAAAATGTATCATAGAGTGAGCAGAGCGAATCAAACCATTGCCTCTCCTCTTTTTTGAGCCAAAATTAGCATGAACCTACGTCACAGACAGATCGAGCTCTAGTCACAAGCGGCTTCCTTTGAACGCATGGAGGTTGCATCGCCAAATTGTTGAGGCTACAAATGGCCTAGGTAATTGGTTGGCCTAGGTAATTTTCGACATATTAAGCACTAAAATGTTATCATTAACAGAGCTTATAATTCAATCAAAATATGTTTTTTGCTTTTTGTTATATTAGATACCTCAATACGTGCTCTGTTGGCTTTTTTGTTGTTATGAAACAGAGGCCTGCCAGTCTCTTCCCCATGTACAGTCGAGTGGATTCTGCTTAATATAGTGTTCCTGCAGACGCGACAACGCTTGGGCGTCAACGATTGCCATTAGTTTCCGAGCGAGTGCTCTTAATGTTTTCTTTGCTTAATCTTTACTTTCTAGGTAATTAGCTGCTGATAGAGAAGAAAAAAGTAAGTTAGAGAGTAGTTTTTGTTTTCTGAGTTGTTATATCACGGCTATTCTCAGGTATTCATGTGGAAGCATGTCGCGTTCAATCTCATGTAAATTTTTTCTCATTTGCTTTTCTTTCATCACTTCCTCCCTCTTTCTTCTTGGAGCATTTCTGTGAATGCTAGTTGGCTTAGATTGCAGCCACTTTGGTTTTTACCCAAAAAGAGAGCATTTGATTGAGTACTTCGTGTGATGAAGACAATAAGTGAAACGTAAGCCTACTAACGTTCAAGAATACTTCACAAGAAAAGAGAGACATGAAATGAAAAAAAAGCACGCACGATACTAATACTACATATCTTCCATGTATAATCTGAGATTAAGGATGATATATTTACTCAGAAAATAGAAGCTACTTTCTAACTTATCATTTTTTCTCCTTTATCGGCAAGGAAGTACCTAAAAGCAAAGAATAAGCAAAGAAAATACTAGAAAACACTCGCGGAAACGGCAGTTGTTGACGCCCAAGCTTGTCTTGTCTGCAGGGACACTATACTGAGCAGGAAATCTACTCGACGTACTGTTTCCCTCAAGTTTGACAAGTTATCTGGTAAACTACTCCTGCCTCCATGCAATCGCCTGGTTGACCACACGGGCAGACGACGCACGGTATTCATGCATAATCGGTAGTAAGAGCGATTATCAATTATTTTGGTACTGCCAGGTAGTAGACCCCCGAGTACACCGTAGCACCAACCCCACCCTTCAGTTCATGCGCAAAGTCCTGAAAGAGCGCTCTCAAACTCCATCAGTACGCCAAAGTTGTTGAAGTTTAAAGCCTTTAAAACTGGGAGTCGAAATATCTATATCTGACGAAGTCTTTGAGGCATGCATTCTAAGGTTCTTATCGCTCTGCTAACATCTACAGATATGAAGGGAACCAGGAAGATATTTTGACTTTGTTCTTGCGAATGCTAGCGCGAAAAGCGTGCCTTGAGGCTGCAGTCAGAAATCGGCTATTGGTTCGTTCATTTGAACTTTAATTGGAATTGGTCAAGTGAGTGCCTCAGAGTTATCAAATAGTGGCGAGCGCCAACGCTGATCTGATTTTGAACGGATTTAGGAAGGCCTTGATAGCAGATGTAGACATAAACGATCTCAGTGGCATTAAATCTAAAAGTTCTGATGATATCCACAGTACGGATGTTTATGTAGTGCAATTTTTGTTTTGCAAAATGTTGTGTTCGTGAACAGCTTCAGCGGAGACTCTTTATCTGCCTTCCAGCGGCAAGCAATAAAACTGAACGTCTCTACGAATTAAGCTGCTATTTATAGCCCACTTATTCACATAAACAAATCATACTGGAAAACATCAATCATTTTACCGAAGTCATTTCTACTTAACATTTTCACCAAGATAGTCACAACACCTCCCCCAGTAGGGTAGTTACAACTCAAACTAGCCTACTATACTGGTAAAAGTACAATATACGTCAGTCAGATCACATGAGCTGCATCGCAGAGTCTTCTGATTGTGATTCATTCTCTGTGACCATAGGCTGCATAGATGATTGATGGCACGTCTTAGACAGAGGTGAATTCAATGCTTGTAATAAGTGTGAAGGAGTCTCTTCGTTCACATACTTTTCGATTATGCTTTCATTTCTTCGTAGGCCTTCATCTTCTGTTAGGACATTTAACAGCATCGTCAAAGTCTTTGATTGTACTAAATCTTCTTCTTCTTTGCCTCGATGCCGAAGCTAATTGGCGTGCTTTTTGTATAACTCTTCGCCAATCTTCACTTCGTAGTTAACCCGCTCAATACGTTTTACTATGATGCCTTTGATCCAACGAAAATGAGGTGGCTTCCACTGCTTTGCGTAAACCAAATCGCCAGCTTCACATTCTTCTGGATGTACTTCATGTTTTCGATCAAATTGGTCTTTCATGTGTTCGCATCTGTTTCTTCTAGCTAGCGGCTCCTCCTTTGTTTCTGATTCTGGTGCTAATTGGCTGAGTCTCTTGCGTAATTTCTTTCCAAGAAATATTTCCGCTGGTGTCTTGTCGTTCAAAGTTGCATTTGGTGTTGTCCTGTAGGCTTAACAAGATATTCAGAGTTTTTTCCGTTGGCCTCTGCTTCTGAAAGCGGAGGGCGATGCGGTGTCGGTGACTACGTTGAGGTACAAGATGTTTATCTACAAAAGTTATGAATTTTTTATGTCAAAACTTCGAAAGTCCCCAAGAATCACTAGGCGCACCCTTTACCGCACTTTCTTGAATGGATTTCAGACATGCTATACATTTGAAAGCAGAAGACGAGTCGGTTCCAATGATTTTTATATCTGCGTACAAGATGTTAATCTACAGAAGTTATGAGTTTTTCAATGTTAAAAACTCAAAAATCTCCAAAAATCATTAGACACACCCTTCACCCAGGCACTTTTCTGGGCGGATCTCAGACATGCTATATATCTTCGAAGCGGTAGATATATAGCATGTCGGAAAGCGGAGGACAAGGCCGTTTCGATTTTAATTCTACAGAAGGTAAGGCTTTTTCATCTAAAAGTTCGAGAAAACTTGGAAATCACCACCCACGAGCTTCGCCAGACACTTTTTTAAAATGACTCCAAACAAGCTCCCGGACAAGCTATATAATTCCTGAATGCGGAAAAAAGATGGTTCTGAAAACAATTTCCTTGCTGACGTTGCTGTTCATACACAGAAGTTACAAAATTTTCCTTTCAAAAAATTGTGAATGCTCAAAAATTGTCTACCTATTTCCCGAAACAGATGTTCTTGCATACACATCTTCTACTCTATGAATTTTCGAGAACAGATGTTTGTTGCTAACCTTACTTAAATATTCACAAAAAAGACAGCAAATGATGGTAGAGAATTGAAAATGATAAAACGCCGATTAGGAAGAATGATGAGAGAACACCATCACTCCCTTCCCCCCCTCGGTCGACCGGTCGACATTTTACAAATTCTCGATCAAGTGGAACACCATTCACCGTGTAGGGGCTGCCACCACTGTGACCCCCTTTACCCTGAAAGACTCATTCTCACCTTATCGCACTTATGCTTCACACACGGCTAGACAAAAGTGCCGCGAAGCACTTTGGTCTTGTAGTATATATTACTAGTTGACTTACCCGGCTCCGCCCGGCCCTGTCATTATTATACTCGTAATCAGCATGCTCGATTACCCCCCTGTGCCAACTCCTAGCCCCGTAGCTCAATTTTTGCAAAAAATCGATAAAATCGATATCGATCGATGACGAAAAGTAGCCTATGACACTCGCCGGGGCCCGAAGCGTATGTGTGCCAAGTTCGGTCCGGATCGGTTCAGAAATGGAATTTTCTATTCGGAACATACGTACATACATACATACAACCAGACAAGCTTTATATATAAGATGATATAATGGAAAATTTTCTCCTCAGTTATTTCTATGCTGATGAAGCAAGAAACTGCGCCAATGCATATGCAGGTTACCAAAGAACGACATATGCGCAGGACAGACACCTTTGATTGAAAGTCGAATCTCATGTTTTGGTTCCATTCCTCTCCACTTCATGAGAAAGTTTGACTTATTTAAAACGATTGGGCAATTTCTTGCATTAGCACTGCGTTAGCACTTCCTGAAATCGATTTCACTTGGGCAGTGGCTCTGCTAGGAATATTGAGAGTAGACGTGCAAAAATGCGTTAGAAGGGAAAAGTCGAGTTTTCTATTTTATGCGAACGCTTTTGCGTTTCTCAGAATTTCATCGCCATGCGAATTCGGAATGTTTCATGAAATATTTGAGCTTTGTCAGCTTTATTGCTGGTCGTTAACGTTCCGATGTTGTAAAGTTTTGATCTTTTCTCCTTAGTTTAGCAATGCTTCCAAACGCCAATTTCGCCGATATATCAATGCTGTTACAATTTCTTATATCAAACCAAAATATATTGCGATTATATTGAAGTTACTCACATAAATAGCCGTTGGGAGCGCATTCTTTACCAGTATAATTTCGTTTCTTCGACGGTTTTGTGGCGTTTCAATCAATGTTACAAAAAGTATAGTAGTCTAGTCTTCTCACAGCTGAAAAAGTTTATTACTAGCATTGTTCGTTCTCCCATAGTCCAAATTGCTTGTTAGAGCTACAAGCTCTGCAAAAGGGAGTTAAAGCATTCGCATAAGATTGATTCATAAAAAGTTTGGAGGTTTGGAGTCAAGGTCCAAAAATTTTAGAGACCCAGCTATCAAATTTCCGTCTAAAAACTTGTCTACAATTTGTCCAAGTATATACTCTCCTAGTCAAATACACACAGAAACCGTCGCCGTATTTTTGCTAAAAGTATGCAAGGCAAAATAAAATAAAAATTACGAAAGTATCTCCTTTTCGGCTTTTGCGCCACATTTGATTTTTTCCGAAAAATAGCACTTGCAAAAAATCGAAATTTTCTATTTATGCTTGCAAAGATAATATTACTTATGTGGCAACAGGCCAACATTACTTTGCCTACAGCATTCCGGTCCATTCTCTTATTTACAAAAAACACTGTGTTTTTACAAATCTCTTATGCGGAAAGTATGGACATAAAGAAGTATGCGGGTGGTAAAATTTTCTTCAAAGGGCACAGAAATTTATTTTTTCGCTTGAATAACGTAGAAATCAAAAGGCGAATGTTTCAAAGATATATCTTACTAGGAAGGATAACTGGCGACTATAGCCTTTTGAGACATATCATCTAGTAGAATGCTCGCCTTGAGTCGCTGATCTCAAAACTACGTTATCTACAAAACGCTTTTTTTTTCAAAGAAATAGCGCTTGTGAAAGCGAACGCACACATATCCGTTCCGGCAGGGAACAAACCGACATCCATTGCGCACTAATTGATTGCGCTAAACGCAAGACCAATCAATAACTTCAGCAGCTCATGATACTAGTCCTACTCTTGTGCAAACACGTTAGATCTGAGGAGATACGTTTGTGAAGAATCGTTGCCGATAGCGAACACAGTTTTGAAATTAGCGTCCCAAGACGGATGTCATGACATATGTCACATATCGAAAGGCCAAGGTCACCAAGTGTCCCTTCCCCGTTTGAAGCTTTGCTTTATAGAATGGCATGTTTATACAATTTTCAAAAGTCTCTCGCGGTGCATCAGCAACATGCAGTCACAAAATGCGGTATCATGCCATCATAATCAGCAAGTTGTTAGTGAGTTAGTGCTAACTCGTTGACACACTAATTTGTTAATAACTCAACGAGTTAACTTGTTGATAACTAGTTACTAGATTTGTGTGGAGTCGTCGATTTTCTCAAACCACTGCTCGTTATATGACAAATAAAAAGCATAATGACAGAATGCGAATGCTGATCCCCTTGTACGTTCTCCTATTATGCGACTGTATTTTTGCTGACGGTTTTGGCCTCCCAGTTGAAGTAGTTGGGAAACTGCTTTGTTTCAAGAAACCGACTGCTGGAGTGCGCATAGTGCTGCTAGAAAAAAAACCTTGTGAGTTAGAAATGCAAGTTGAGTTCAATTCAAACTATAATTTCAGCTTTTCGAAAGGTGGCTCAAGACATAACGAACCCCAAAGGATTTTACAAGATTTCAGGCAATGTTAGAGACATAAACCAAACACAACTCCACATCTATCATAGATGCAACTATAAAGGGGTGCAGTTTGTTTTCTCCTTGTAAATAAACAACTAGATCTCCAAAAGAAGGTCGATGTGGCAGACTTGTCTCACAGAAGGCTATTTAGATTTGCTACCAGATGCTCAGCATACCAACTTACCGAATTTCTGTACCCGCAACCAAAGGACCAAAGCAAATACTTAAGATAATACCATTGGATCTCGTCGGGGCATGGTACTACGGAAAGACCGTTGAAGACTGCAGGACAAAATAATGGTTGCAAAAACCGGACCTGCTAACTTACACAAGATGAATAAAGACTTTCCCCATTCGGCTGCAAATTTGAGGTGTATGGGACATGGGATAAAGTCAGTCATATGCATATAAACAAGTCTCAAACATGAACTTGTCATAGAAATCCACGCCTTCTTCTCTTTTTCATTCTTGTCATTCTTCTTAGCCACTAAATTCAGTTTTTAAGTTCTCCATGTTGTTTGTTGTATTGTTTTGTTGCAATAAGTTTTAGTTTACCTTTAGGCTAAAATGGAAAGAAAAATAAGAAAAAATTGAAGTGCTGCGTCAGATAAAATAAGGCATGAGTACAGTGAGGCTTTAAAACTCAAACTACTACGTACTTTTCACCTCAGTTTGCTCTTTCGGACTTCCCGAGATAGTAGGTACTGAAATGAGCTTTTTCGGCTTAACGCTCCAACTCTATCAATGTTTCGTAAGCGTCTATGAAGGTGCATGGGTTCTGGCTGTAAACCCACACGTATTGCATTACTGTCTTGGCACCGCTGATTTTGTGTGAACAATGCTGTTAAGCAGCGCAAATTTAACACGTTTCGGACCGTTGCTGCATATGGTGCAGCACGCGGCTTTGAAGGATCTTTTTAACGTTTACAGGAGGTTTTCTTTTTGTCCAAGCTTATCAAGTCAAAGCCCTGGGCTTCAAGTTTTCAAATAACTCTGTAGAGCTGTGCCGCCGATATTTGTTTAGGATATATGAGGACAAATCGAACAACAGTTGCAGCGAGGTGCGGCAACGCGAACGACGCGTGCGAGGTCGCAACTTTTCTTTGCTTCAAATTTAACGAGAAAAACCGTAATTTCAATAACTATGTGTATCGTGTACAACATAGATACTTTTGAGTACAATTAAAAACTTGGTTCTTGTTTCAATCTTTTGAGAAAGCACAGGACAGCGACAAAATTCAAACACTTCGAAATCATTCAGAACTTTGGGTGTCGATCTTATCTGACATGCTGATTACAGATGTAGCGCACAATCTGGGAAATAAGGTCCCTTTGTTGGCTAACGGCTGAAAGTACCCTCTTTTACACCGCGCGCGATTTCGCGGTCCGAAACGTGCTAATGTGGACTGCTTAAGTTGGTTTATGCCCTGCTTGAGGAGCGTCATTGCATAAGAGTACATTTGCCAAGGATAAAAATTGAGTTTGGTCTCTTTGGAACCCTCGCAGAGGTGTCATTTACACATTGAGTTTTCCGCGATGACGCTAGTATTGGCTAATGTACGCGAACTCTGGCTTTGCCTTTGACTAATCAACCTCTTCCGGAGTAAACCTGTCGAAACGGCAGCTCAAACTCAGAGTTGACTCAAAGTTAACTCCGATTTGACACGCACCTTTAAGGGACCATTAACATCTGCATGAAAGATCCATTGGGGAAAAAGTCATATGGAGGATATCCCGCAAGACGTAGTTTATGCCAAAACTGTTGCGAATAGTAAATGAATACCCGTAATCAAGGTTTCACATAACAAGACATGTCCAGAGGCGTTAGGCCTGGCCCTGTGTCTAGCCGTTGAAACATTATACAAATTTTCATAGCAGTAGCAGGATGAAACATGGACATAGACCGTGCACCAACAATCCGCCCTGCCTCCTCTTTCTTTTTGGTCGTACTTTTGAAGAAACTCGAAAACTTCTACTGTTACTTCCCATGCCGGAAAATTGTAATTTCAGGATATCCAAGAAAATTTAGAGAATGGACTTTCAATGATAATCAAATCCGAAGCTTACTTGAAAATCGAATATACAAAACAAAAACGAATTCTAAATAGTTTTTCTGAATTTATTCCTGTTATCAGAACAATAAAATCATGAACTTATAGATCAAAAATCTGCTACTTGATATGATTGCTACTTGCTGAAAAAGTTCAACTCAAGCCATGATATTCGCCCTTCTTCCGTATGTGCCCACCGTAACTTGATAATCCTCGGAAATGGACAGCGTATTCATGATTACATAGACAAATAAGTCCAATGCAAATTTCAGCAGCTCAGCCAGTTTAGTCTACCACACACACTGTCAGCCCATCGCATGTTCCTACAGGGGAGAAGAAATGGTTTTGTATTAAGCAGCTGAATAACCCCTTAAAAGCTTTAAGCAATTTTATTATTTGTGTCCATTTACCGTATATTCACCGCAATTTTTTTTACAAAAAGGTGTTTCTGTGTGGCTATAGTAATCGTAATTGTACAGAATAAACCCGCTGAGCCAAGTTTTACTGGATTCTGTGATTTTAGCAGTCTAACGTATCTTTTCTGTAAAACCGCTATACAGTGTCTGTGAAAAATGGGTAATAGGATCGTAATCAGCTTACCGCATAGTGCCACTGACCCAATTTTGCACCTATATGTGACTTCACTTGACTACCATAATCTTATCCCGCTCTAGCTTGCCACGGTAAAAATGATTATCATCTTTGCAGTCAGCACACCGAATCACCCCGCCAGACCAAGTTTCAATCAAATCGCGATATTTTCCTGTCTACAGTAAGCTTGCCGTAATCTTGCTACATAGATCCACAGTCACAAATGAAATCATATTTGGACTCAACATGCAAAAAAAACCACACTGTCACAGGCTTCAATCAATTTCTTGATTTTCGCCCGACGACCTTATAGTCACCGTAACCTTGTCAAATGAATACGCAGTTCAAAATGAACACCAAATCCGTGATCGTCCCAATGTACCAAGTTTCAACGAATTCGTGATTTCCGCAACCCTAGTAACCTCGCTATGTGGGCGAATGGTGAAACACGAACATCGTATTCGTGATCAGAACGTCGAATAACCCCCAGGACCAAAACTTCACAGAATTCTGAAAATTTTTGTTTAACGGTGCACCACGATACTCTCCTCATACTTGCTGAAAATACGAGCAAAATGTACCCCGGAAAATTTTTAGCTGCACCTCTTCGTCTGCACACTAATTCTCTGTCTCTACCAAACTCAGAGTAAACTTTCGGGCGCCTGAAACGCGCACCAAACTCAGAGTTAACGCGCAGCTGAGCTGCGCGTTTCGTCGCGTAGCTTCTTGTGTGGATCGAGTTACGCCATGTTGCCATACTAGTAAAGTTGCTGTAAAGTTGCTTCGTGGGCTAGTGGTCTAGTGGTGAGCAGTTCGGGCCGAGCGACTGAAGTTCAAGTCCCGACTTAGTCGGAGCGTTTGCGATGAAGCCTATAGCGGCTTGTCAACAATTGAAGCGGCTCCGCAAGTAGCAGTACTAAACTCCGAGTCAAAACGAAACTCACAAGGGAAGCTACCTAACATAGCTCGGACTTTGGCAAGAGACATATATAGTCTGAATCAACTTCAACGCTGATTCCAAATATGCTACTTCTAGCTGCCACGCACCATTCCGAAGCGAGTTATGGGCTTTTTCCCGTTTTTAGTGAGAAAAGATTAGATTTGCACTCTTTCGATACCTCAGCTCTCTCGCAGATTTTGATCTACAGGGGTCTTGTCATATTCAGTAGTATTCCAAATTTACGTAAGAAAATGCCCATAACTCGCTCTATAATGGTCGTGGCAGCTAGGAATAGCATTTTTGGAATCAGCGTATGAAGCTGATTCAGATTTTCCTTTTACCAAAAGGCCGAGCTAAGTAAGGTAGCTTTCCTTATCATAGTTAACTCTGAGTTAACGCGCAGCTTTAAACTTGGAGTTTCGACCAGATTACTACAGGCCGTGGATATTTAGACATGGGTCAAGGTGAACGTGATCACAATTTTTTATCGACCCACTCACAATCCTCGTCCAAGGTTTCTCGGGTACGAGACGTTAGCAACACTGCTCGTTATACAAGCGCTTTGACAGGAGTGAATACATGTAATTTTGCTTCGCAAGGAAGGACAGTGGCGTACCGAGGGGGGGGGGCGCCCCCTCTTCCGAGAATGGGTCGCGAAATTTTTCAAAATCACTGACATGGGTTAAAAAATTGTGCAAATGATTTGTCTGCACTTGTAAACAGTTAGAATGATTTTTAAAATTTTTAAAAAATTCATTTTAGCCTTATAAAAAAATTTCTTCGGGGGCGTGGCGTCAGCCACGCCCTCCTTTTTCTGAAATTTCGGGGTTCTGAGCCCGCAAAAATTTTACAGGAGCATACCAAAGAAATTCTCGGAGTGCGTGGCTGATGCTACGCACTTTCACCGGAAAATTTTTTTTTGTCGACAACCCCCCTCCCTCCGAGCCGAACCTGGGTATGTCACTGAGGAAGGACCATTGGTCGAAGCGGGGTTCCCTTACGTAATGCATATCATTGTGCTTGTTGCAGCTCGGTGGGCTCAGCGCCCCTTTTGAGGGGTGCTCGTCTGCCATACAACCTAGTTCACAACCCCAAAGGACTTCGCGCAGATACGGGTGAGCTCGAAGCACATACCGGCGCGTCACGCCTACCCAAAAATACACATATAAATATATACAAATCTACCAAACTAAATCAAAATACACAATACACAAATAAACATAGAAGAAAACTTACCAAGGGGAGAGTTAAGCTCAACCCGGGCTACCAATGGGCCACTAACTCACTCACGCTCTTTCCCTGGCGCACCCTCACACACTCCCAACTTCTAAGGGAGCTGACCCACAGGTCGGCCACGCGTGCAACCATACGTATGCAAAGGGAGAACATGACCTCTCCAGGGTTAGGTCCGCCGCTGCTGTAAGGTGCGTCGACCGGGGAGGGGGAATGTTCCTCACCATTGCTTCTCATGTTCTTTTCATTCACATGCATCAAGTGAAATTGTAACTAGCCGGGTTAAACGTCGAATATTGGATTTTATCCGCTAAAATTCGGAGAAGAAAAACTGTAAGAAGTGAAACTAAGAAATCAACATTTTAAGCAAAATTATAAAACTATTGGCGTTATCAAAATTACATTTAGTAACATTTTGATTCGTATTATTAGTAATCATTAGTATGATTATCAGAAACATATTTGCATCAGTGAGAAGTATGTCGGAAACTTGCCGCCTATTGTTCACTTCGGGGAAACC